CTGTTGGCAGCAGTAGATAACTAAGCCACTTGCTAAAGCTGCTTTTTAAATCATTAATCTGTTTTCCTTTGTACCATAACCGTGAATCTATTTCCCATCCCTTACTAGCTGCATTTCCTCAGATTTTTCCCCAAAACCAAAAAAGCGTATTATAGGGTTTCTGAGACTGTAAATCTTTATGGGCGCAGAGAGCCTCTTTTTTTTTTTTCCTTGAAGCAGTTGGTGAATTTTACAAGGTTAACAGTCCAGTGCTTAACCACAACACCACCATGGCCCAAAAAGTGGTTTTATAGTTTATCCATACTTTTCATAATACTTAACCTCATTTAAAATGATTTGTGAACTAATCTAAGTAATTTGGCAGCTTTCACTTGTCAATTCTTTTTGTTAAAAACCAATAACCTCTGTTGTTTAGAGGCTTGTAGGGGCTGTATATTCTCTTCCATACAATTTCACACTAGGTGGGGTGGTGACAGTGAAAGCAAATCAGACTAGATTCTTCTACTGAAAGGAGAAGGCATGTTTATTCTGTCTTAAGGGTTAAAGAAATATATGTCTGTATCTGTTTGCATCACTTGGCGTTTTTATATCTAAAAATATTTTTGCTAATTTGCTAGATAGAAAATGATACCTTTTTATTTACTAATTAAATTAGTAATGAAATTTAAGATTGCTTTTTTTTTTTTTTTAGTTTTTATTGGTGAATTGAGCGATAGTTTACATGGTAGAACATTGGTTTTACACTTACCGGTTCATTCTAATGATTACAATCTTCTCCATGCATCATCATTCAGCAGTATTTGCTTCTATTCCCTCTGGGCTTTTTGGGGGGATAGGGAGGGGCAGATGTACACAAAAACAATCAGGAATATATAATCATTTAAACAACCAAAGAACACATTCTGAAAACCTGCCTACTGGTTGCCAGCACACAGACTTTCTCTTTCCATGAGTGTAGAGTCCTCAGCTGCTATATCTTTCCATGTCCTCATCTCTGCCTCTATCTCTGGTGTCGCTGCTTCTCTGGATGGGTCTCACATTCTGCTCATGCTCTTTAACCTTGATGGTCCTAGGGTCCTCTGTTCCTGGACTGTAAGATTAACTAAACCCCCCTTTTTGTTACAAAATTTCTGACTTTACAGTTGTGACCATTGCAGTAAAGCATGGTAACAATTACTCACTATTTAATCATAAGAATCTTATCCCCATCTCCTTTCACCAGACCCATCTAGACACGATGAAAACTATTCAGTGGGGATTCTTCTTGCCCTGCACACTCTTAAACTAAACTCTCACTTGAAAACTTGTAAGCCAATCACTTCATGCCTGTATAGCCCCCCATTTTAGGTAGCCAATGTCTAAGTTGCCCATCACTATCAACTCTGTATACATAGGAGATAGGCTTGATACTTGATGTGAAGACTCCTTCACTTTTAGTTGGTATTTTGAACTACTACATGCATAAGTATAGGTCATCAAATTGTGACAATTTACACTTGTTTCCTTTATCGGAAAATTATTTTGTTCTATCTTCCTCTAGTTGAGTTCTGATCATCAAGCCATTGAGGCTAGGTCGAATGAGTACTCTCTGCAAGTTTGGTAATGGCTTGTGCATCTCCCCACACTGAATATCAGATGATGCTTCACTTTCTGCTCTAGCCATCCTTGTCCTTGTCCATGGCTCAGGAGTCCCTAGGTCCCACCACACTTCAGACCAACCAGTCCTTCCTCTTCTCTCTCTCTAAGGTCAATGGGAGCCTGTAGAACATGGTCGAACTCAGCCCATATCTTCATTGCTGCCTTTCCCCCTCTTCCACTCACCAGTAGACCAGTGTGGTCACCAGCAATCTTACATGCCTGCTCGTGTGTTCCCTTTGAGTTTGAGTTTTAGAGGAGGGTTTGTCCTGAAGGGATTTGATTTCTTGCCTTGATTTGCCCCATATTTTTAATTACATGCGCCTGTGCTCTGGTAGCGTGGTGGTTACAAATTGGGCTGCGAAACTTAAGGTCAGCAGTTCGAAACTGCCAGCTGTTCCGCGGGAGAAAAATGAGGCTTTCTGCTCCCATAAAGATTTATAGCCTCGGAAACCATGTGCAGGGTCACTATGAGTCGGAACTGGCTCCACGGCATGTAACAACAACAACTCATCTGTGAAACACATTTCAGTAAGTTTTGAATGTCCTTTACACAGATTATTCCTTTACTATTTAATGCACAATTATTCTCTGTGTTTCTGTTTTTCTTTGCAAATATAATGTGCATCATATATTTATTATATGCATGTTTATCTTCCATAAGAGATTTCGAGTGTCTTACCTGCATGGACTCATTGCTGTTTTCAGTGTCTTAGTACTTAGCATTTATTTATTCAGATCATCCTCATGTAATGATGGAGGATAAGTACTTGACTGCTAACCACAAGGCTGGCAGTTCAAATCTACCAGCCGCTCCTTGGAAACCCTATACAGAGTTGCTATGAGTTGAAACCAACTCAACAGCTCTTAACTACAGCAGCAAGTAGTTGAAATGGAGCTTGTGGCTCTGTAAAATAAGCACTGGACTGGGAATCACAAGGTCTGTGAATTGAGCCAACTAGCAACTCCTGGGGCTTTCTGCTTCTTCAAAGATTTACAGCCTCAGAAACTTTGTACAGAGTCACTATGAATCAGAATTGATTCGACGGCACTTAACAACAACAAATAGTCACAAAGGAATATTTTCAAGCTACAACTACTTTGTTTCTGCCTTGCAAATTGATAAATCAGTTTTGTTTTGATTCTAAATTGCTTTCTGCTCTGTGACAGGACACATTTTGACCGAGTGGCTAAAGTAATCATATAATAATAAGAATTGCAGAACTCAAAAACCTGTTGAAGAATGTTCACTGCAGCACTTTTTACAATAGCTAAAATGTGGAAACATGTGAAACATCCATCAACAGATAAATGGATAAACAAAATGTGTTGTAGTATATAGATAAAATAGATTATAACTTATTTATAAAGAAAAGGAAGTCCTGATTCCATGACATGAATGAACCTTGAAAACATCCTGCTGTGTGAAATCAGTCACAAAAGGACAGATGCTCTATCTGCTCACTTAAATGAAACAAACAATATATAGAAACCAGACATTACTACTGGCTACCAAAGGGGAAGTGGGAAAGAAGTTTTTGCTAATTGTAACATAATATCGTTTACGTTAAAATGGTGGTAGAATAATTGGTAATGGATAGCAAGAATGAGTACACAATTTAAAGAATGTTATCAGTGTCATTGTAAAGGTGAAATTTGTTTATCAGTGAATGATTTGGTTTGTACATTTTCACAGTATACAAAAAGTTACAAACATTAAAAAAAATTAAAAACTCACTCCCATTGAGTCAATTCTGATTCATAGCAGCCCTATATAGGGTTTCTAAGGCTGTAAATCTTTGTGGGAGCAGACAGTCTCATCTTTCTCCTGCAGAGTGGCTGGTGGTTTTGAACTGCCAGCCTTGTGATGATCAGTCCAGTGCTTATCCTGCAGTGCCACCAGGACCCTAGTGCTTATCCTACAATGCTACCAGGATTAATAAATAAAAAATGTTAAGTGCCATCTAATCAGTTATGACTGATAGCGACCCTGTATAGGGTTTCTGAGGAGCAGTTGGTGGGTTTAAACTGCTGACCTTGTGGTTCAAAGTCCAGTGCTGATTCTATAGCACCACAGTGTTGTTATTGTTGTTGTTATGTGCCGTGGAGTCGAATAGCGACCCTGTCCAGGGTTTCCGAGGCTGTTAATCTTTATGGGAGCAGAAAGCCTCATCTTTCTCCTGCAGAACTGCTGGTAGTTTCAAACTGCTGGCCTTGCGGTTCACAGCCTGATTCGTAACCTACCACTACACTACCAGAGCTCCTTATAGCACCACAATAGTATTATTAAAAATAAAACATTCCCTTTCAAATTGCTGCTGTGGACAAACCTACTAATTAATTTCTTCAGGGAAATATAAAGAAAGGACAAATTCATTATATACATGTTTGCTTATATAACTGATGAGAAAAACTAATTTAATCAATGTAATTGTACTTCACTCTAGTTCATTCCTTCCGTTGGCTATTAATAATACTGTTCTTTCTAATAAATGGATTTTTCACCCTCTGAAGAATCACAGTAAAAAAAAAATTAAAGCATTTTCCAAAGCTCTTGTTTCAGGTATATTTTTCCTGTAAATGGCAATCTTGTAAATACATTAGAGTATACTGACCATCAAGTCTCCCTCACTACTCAGTTCTGTTACTTTGTGAAAACAGGCTTAGTATGTAAATGAAGGACCATTGTTGTGTTATGTAAATGAAGGGCCTTTGGTGTGCTGTTTATGAAAGCAGGCAACAGACTCAATTTGGCCCTGGAGTCATCATTTGTCAATCTGTAATAATCATTAACTAAAGATGTAGACAGAAGTTGTTGTTGTTAGTGCCTTTCAGTCGGTTCTGACCCATAGCAACCCTGAATAGGGTTTCCAAGGCTGTAAATCTTTACGGGAGCTGAAAGCCTCATCTTTCTCCTGCGGAGCAGCTGGTAGTTTCGAACTGCTGACCTTGCGGTTCGCAACCCAATTTGTAACCACTGTGCCACCAGAACTCCTTTTCGACAGAAGTTATTCAACAGGAAAAAAAAAAAAGTTAAAATAGGATTTAAGATGTTAAGACTTGAATAACTATTAACAGTTATTAAGGATAGAAGTAACCATTCTTTTTTTTCCTTTTAATCATTAAAATAAGTACTATGAGTTTTATAGTGTTGATATTGTTATTTGCCCTTGAGTAGATTATGACTCATGGTAACCCCATATGTGTTAGTAGAACTGCTATAAGGTTTTCAAGACCTTTTGGAAGTGGATTATCAGACCTGTTTTTCAAAATACCAGAAGTCATACCTTTTTAGTAGTTACCCATTTACACACTCATTCTGTTGTTTTATTTCTGATGTTTACCTAGATATAAATCTTTTTTAGGAGAAAAAAAAGAGAAAAAACAGCAGCAGTCAGTAGCAGGAAGTACTGATTCCAAGCCAGTAGATGTTTCTCGTCTGGATCTTCGAATTGGTTGTATCATCACTGCCAAAAAACATCCTGATGCAGATTCTTTGTATGTTGAAGAAGTAGATGTTGGAGAAACAGCTCCAAGAACAGTTGTCAGTGGTCTGGTGAATCATGTTCCTCTTGAACAGGTAACTTGTACACCCAAAATCAAGTAATAAGGGTAGTGTTACATAGTCACATATTGTTGTAAATAAGTTGTACACCTGTAAAAAGTTAAACTGGGAAAAGTTGTATGATAGATATATTTACAGTGACAGAAAACAACAAAGAGTAGCTTCTCAGAGTACTTAATGTGTGTACAAACAAAGACCTCATGGGATATGCTTCATAGGTTTAGAGGTGTAGTGTTACGGTTTCATGGGACATCCCAGTTAATTGACTTAATAACATGTTTAGTACTTCTATTCTATCTCCTAGCCCATTGCATAGTGTCTGGGAGAATTTTCAAAGCTTGCAAGCAGCCATCTGTGGCACAGTTGGTCTCTGTTTACCTGGAGGAACCAGAGGAATGAGCATTAGGAATGGAGCAGGATATGGAATGTGTGGTTAATTGCTTCCATCAGCAACTGCAAACTTTGCCATGAAACCCTAAGAACTAGATGATGCCTTGCAACCACTACTGAGTATTTTGATCAAGGAATCTTTAGCAGAATCCTGATCAAAAAGAGGGAAATGTAGAGCAGAATTTCAAATTCTCATGGAATTCAGATGATCTGGAGCTATGAAGGCTGGATGATGCCTGAAACTGTCTGTTGTCCTGAGATAATCTGTAAACTTTAATCCAAAAAATATTCCCTAATGTGTTAATCAAACAATAGTTTAGCTACTTAAAAAAAAAAAAAAATCTGCCTTGAGCAATTTGCTTTTTAAGGGACTATATGTGATCAGAGTGGCAACAGTTATTTGATAGATAGAATTACTATAGGGCAGTGAGTTTATGTTAATTGAGAAACAACTCAGAAAAGGAGGGTGTGAATAGTTGTACAGTTCAAAAACTATAATTAATGTCACTGAATTATACCTGTGAAAACAGGTGAATAAATGTATGTTTTGCTGTATATTTTCTCTATAACAAAAACAAAATTAATTAAAAAGTAAAAATTGCTTCTGCATAAAATTTTCAATATTTTTCTTAATTTTTTTAATTATAATTCTGTATAGTTAATTACCTGAACTTGACTGAAAGTGATAAATTCTGCATAAAAGGAAATAAAACCACTAAAAACTGCAAAAGATGTGTAAATTTAGAGGTTGTTGTGTGTTGGTAAGTGCCATCAAGTCGGTTCCAACTCATAGTGAACCTGTGTAGGGTTTCCGAGAAGCAGGTGGTGAATTTGAACTTCTGACCTTGTGGTTCTCAGTCCAGGATTGATCCTATAGTGCCACATAAAAAGATACATTTTTTTTTCTCTATTTCCTAAACTTTTTAGTGGTGTCTTTATGGGAAAGTAGCCCCATCTTTTTTAGGAGAGCACAATGGGTTATGACATGGGCTAGTAACTGCAAGGTCAGCAGTTTAAATCTACCAGTCGCTCCATGGTAGAATCAGAGGAGGTTTTCTGTTCCCATAAAGATTTACAGCCTCAGAAACCCTATGCAGGGTGGCTATTAGTCAGAACCGTCTCAGTGGCACACAACCACCACAACTATCATGGTTGTTTGGTTATGTGCCATGGAGTCAGTTCCAACTCATAGTGACCCTGCGTAGGATTTCTAAGACTGTAAATCTTTACGGGAGCAGAAAGCCTCATCTGTTTCCCACACAACAGCTGGTAGTTTCAAACTGCTGACCTTGAGGTTAGCAGCCTGATTCTTAACCATTACACTCCTGGAGCTCCTTAGGACCACCATGGTGGTGATGGTTCCAACTTCATAGTGACCCTGTTATCCTTTCCGAGGCTGTAAAGATTTATAGAAGCAAGAAAACCTCATCTGTGTCCTGCAGAACAGCTGGTACTTTCAAACTGCTGATTCTTAAGATTAGCAGCCCGATTCATAACCACTACGCTACCAGAGCTCCTTTATGGCCACCAGTGTGTTTTATTTTTTTTAAAAAAGTTCATGAGAGCTAAAATATGGCCTTAAACATATCCCTCCTGAATTTAGAGTTCATCTCAAGCACAGATTTGATGAGTTAGACAGTAATGACTGTAGATCAGAAGAGTAGTGGGATGGCATCAAGTACGGGATATAGGAGGAAAGCAAAAGGTCATTAAGAAGACTAGAGAGAAAGAAATTACTGAAATAGATGTCAGAAGACACTGAAACTTGCTCTCCAGTGTAGAGTTGCTAAAGCAAATGGAAGAAATGTAGAGGTAAAGAGCTAAACATAAAAATTTCAAAGGGTGGCTTGAGAAGACAGAGTCAAATATCATAATGAAATGTGCAAAGACCTGGAGTTAGAAAACCAAAAGGAAGTAACATGCTCTTCATTTCTTAAGCTGGAAGAACTGAAGAAAAAAATTCAAGCCTCAAATTGCAATATTGAAGGATTTTATAGGCAAAATATCAAATAATGTAGAAAGTATCAAAAAATAGAAGTGCCCTTTAAAGACTAAGACTCAGTGAGAATACATGAGCAGATATGCGCTCTGATTGGTGACCACGTTCATCACCATTAAGGGGTATTGAGGGAAAAACAGCAATGAAGCTGCGAGCTAAGCCCTACAATATTCAATAGACTCCTGTGAACCGGGTGGAGACCTGGTCAGCCAGCAGTGTGGCAAGACCTGGGCACTCGTGGGCCCAGAGTCAGTGACATAGCCACAGAAGACTAGAATAGAGAGTGAAGCATCCAGCTGATAAGAAGATATATGCATAAGAACACCCACACTTGCAGATAATACCCACTTGACCTGGCTTCAATGACTGGATGATCAGAGCTCAACTAGAAGAAGAAAGAAGAGGAAAAAAAGAATAATCTGATACAATTTGATGAACTAGACCTATACCTATGGATGCAGTAGCTGTAAAAAGGGAACAAATTTTTATAGCGAGGATCATTCTGACCCCCTCCATACACAGAGTAGACAAGGTTGGGCAACTTGGACATTGGCTACCCAAAATGGGGGGTGGAGAGGACAGCTACAAAGGCAAGAAGTGACTGACTCACAAGCTTTCAAGAGGGACCCTAGATCCAGAGGGTGCGAAGTAAGCTAAAATCTCCACTGAGTAGTATCCAATCCCTCTGGGCAGGGCGATGAAAGGAGATGGGGATAGTTCTCTTATGATACAATAGTGAATAATTGTTATCAGGACTGACTGTGAGGGTTGGAAATGTAAAAGTAGACGTTTTGTAGCAAAAGCAGGGGAGTGAATGACTTTGCAGTCCAGGAGTGGAAGTCCCTGGGACCATCAAGGGAGAAGAGCAGAGGGCAGGATCCTACCTAGAGAAACAGTGATGCCAGAGATGGAGCAGCTGGGGACTCTAGACCCAGAGAGGGAGAGCTGATGACGGGGTGGGGGGCAGGCTTGCAGGGTATACTCTTTGGTTGGTTGATGATGCATGAAACGGTATACGATAGGATGAATGTAAAGGTAATGTTCTCCCGTGTAAACTGTCACATAATTCACAATAAAACATTTTTAAGAAAAAAGATAGAAGGAACATGCAGAGTCACTCTACCAGAAAGAAATGGTCAATGTTCAGCCATTTCACGAAGTAGCATATGATCAAGAGCCAGTGATACTGAAGGAACAAGTCCATGGGAGTGTCAGAATATTGTCAGGACATAAATAAATACATAGTATGGTAAATAGTAATAATTACCAAGAGAATAATAATAGAGGAAATAATCTAAGTGATTTTAAGACCAGGATGATGTTGCCATTTTACATAAAATTGCCAGTAAAGGCCTTGTTGAGAAAGTGACATTTAAGTAAAACTCTAAGCAAATAAAAAATAAATCATGGGTCTAAGGCAGTAGCATTGCAGGCAGCCAAGAACAACAAGTACAATGTCCCTGAGACAGGTGTATGCCTGTTATGGTCAAGGAACATTGGGAGGTTTTTGTGGCTAAAGAAGACTATAGAAGGACAGTGGTGGGAGGTAACATCAGAGATAAGGGTGTCAGATTAGATCTGCCCTTAGGGTTTTCTTAGCTATAATTTTTAAGGAAGCAGATTGCCAGGTCTCTCTCCCACTGAGGGACTGAGTGCATTCAAACTACCAACCTTTCCATTATCAGTGTAAAGATTGCGCCACCAGGTCTCCTTGAAAAAGAAAAGCGTGTTAGGTTTATTATACATGAGCGCTTTCTATTCTTTTAAGCATTCACCTTGCACAGGACCAGACTACATCATAACTCCTTTTGAAATTAGATTGAAAGAACCCTGGAAAGAAGAACTTGGTTCTGAAAAGTGCAGGCTCAATTTGGAACAATTCCTCATTTAAGGAATTTGCCTTTTCTGTTTTCATAAGTTGCATGAGTCCTTCAGAGCCATAATGAAAGCTATTAGTTATTAATACAAACACCCAACTCAGTCTAGTTGTTAAATACACCATGGCTCTTCAGAATAATACTAGTATTCTATAGAAGCAGGGGCACTAAGCTCCCAAAATTAAGTACCAAATTTTTTGGGTTTTTTTTTTTTTTCATTTTTCAAAGGACACGTCCAAAGTTATCATCTGATTGCATCAAGCTAATGCTTTGTGATAATTCTTTGTGATGTTATTTTTAAACTGTTGGAAGAGTTTACAAAATTATATTCCTGTTTTACTTAGTTGGACTTCAACTTTGAGAGATTAGAGAAATGTCTAATTTTTTTGTACAGTAAATTATAGAAATAGGATGAAATATAAATTGCAGCTTGCATAATGTTGAATTGCTCAGTATATAGTTTTTTTCATTAGAAAATGACTCATAATATTACAAATAACTAGGATATGTATACAAAATGTGTAGGGCAAAAGGACTATACACCTAGCACTTAACTTGCCTAAATGTTTTAGATACTTGTTATGAATGAATCTTTATGACAGCCATTCAAATTCAATATTATTTTTTAAGGAAACCAACTTTATGCATTGCCATTTTTTGTAAATGCTAGCTGAAATTAAAAACCAAGTCTATTTCCCTAGTTACTTTTTCATTTTTAAAATAGAAGCCTATGCTCTGTCAACTATGATGTATTGGCATCTTAGAAATTTGATGGGGTTTTTATGTTTATTTCCATATAAGCAAACCATCAAACCAGTAAGATACTTTGGACACACAGAGCAAAATCCACAAAAAAACTTTGATATTTAAAATAGGGGTACATCATTGTATACTATATAAGATTATTTAAATCTCTGTATGTTTTTAATCACCAATTTGTTTCACACAGATGCAAAATCGGATGGTGATTTTGCTTTGTAACCTGAAACCTGCAAAGATGAGAGGAGTGTTATCTCAAGCAATGGTGATGTGTGCTAGTTCACCAGAGAAGGTGGAAATCTTGGCTCCCCCTGATGGGTCTGTTCCTGGAGACAGAATTACTTTTGATACTTTTCCTGGTAAGTGTTTATTAGTAGTTATTTTCAATTGAGAATCATTGTTTTCAAAACAGTCCTGTAACATTTAAAGTTAAAATCAGTCTCATATATGAATTACAAGGTTTTACGTTAAATCACAATGAATGATTAGTAAAATTGGCTTAGAGTGGCACGGTTTGAGCACAGGCAGCAAACCACTCTCCTATCCACATGTCATAAAATATGAGAGATTCTTTCCTAGGTAAGATAATATACTCATACCTATATAACAGAAAATTATGACATGGGTAGAGTATAAATCAAGTGTGCTCTAAGATCATTTAACCTACAGATTATGTCAGAAGGCAGCACATAAAAAAAGAGATAAAAAGTCCATACATGAGGGAAAGATGCACAATTTTCAAAGTCCATCTACAAACGTACTTGTAGATGCTTTTAATTGGTTTTAGGATATAGAGGGGGAAAATCTTTAAGTTGAAATTCACATTTATTTTACTAATCTAAAAGGAAGTTTCATCACATTTGTTTTCTCCAACAGAAATGCTCCTTAGGCAAATGAAGTTTTATAGTATATGAGAAAACTTCTTTACTGGGTCTTTGAAGGAGAAAAAAAAAGGATACTTGGCAGATATAAATACTTCTTCCATAACTAAGGAGGGAACTCGTAAGACAAAAAATAGAAACTATAAAAGACTACATTTATTAAATGGTGTCGTATTTGACTAGAGTAAAGGGAAAAGCAAAAATAGAGTAGCAAGTAGAACCAAGTTCAACAACCAAAACAGATTTGAAGACATATTTATTGAAACAGTCAACTTTTAATGGGAAAGCAATGCTGATGAGATTATGTAGCCGTATCTATATAGACTTTTTAAATCTTGTGTTAACTATAAAAAGACCTGGCTGCATAATGATTAATGACATGGCTACTAACCAAAAGGTTGGGACTTCACCTCCACCCACCATTCCAAGATGTAACAACATGCTTCTGTAAAGATTAGCCAGTTTTTCAAATGGATTCGGACTCATAGCAATCCTGTAGAACGTCATGAGGGGACTTCAAAAGTTCATGGAAAAATTTATTTAAAAGATAGTGAAATTTCTCTACAAACCCTTGAAGCCCCCATATAGAATAGTGTGGAACTGGTTCATATAGTTTTCAAGGCTGTAATCTTTACAGAAGCAGAGTGACAAAAACCTTTTTCCTAAATAGTAGCTTAGTGGATATAAATCCCTGAATTTTTGGTTGGTAACCAAGCACTTACCAGGGTGCATTCTATAAAGATTATAGAAACCCTATGGGGCAATTCTACTTATCTGTCAGAATTCACTCGATAGCAGTCAGTTTTGTTTTTGATGTGTTGACAATGTTGCCATATGAAAAAATCTAACATTGGCGTAATAAGATAGAAAATATATATGAAAACATTGGTTAACTCCATGAAAATCAGCCACCCCCTCTTAATCAAAAGTTGTTGCTTCTTATTAAGTGCCATGGAGTTGGTTCATACTCATAGCGACTGAATGGCTGGTGAGTGGGTGGGTTTGAACTGCTGAATTATGGTTAGCAGTCCAGTGCTCATCATACAGCACTATATCAGGACTCCAATCAAAACTAGACAAATCTGCAAATAGAGGATTTTTTTTTCAAGTGTTCATGATTTTGAATGCATGTATGTCAAGCCCCACAGTAACTTGGAAACCATCATGGTATATGCTTGTAAGAAGCTTTTTTTAGTAAATTGGATTTTGGGGAAATCTCGGTCTGAATTATTTTGAAACTTGATGGATGGCTTTAGATGCTAGGATCATATGTTACTGTTGGTGTATGACCTAGAGTTGATTTTAACTCATAGGACTGAGTAGAACTGCCCCATAGGGTTTCTAAGACTGAAATCTTTACAAGAGCATATTAATACATTTTATTCTTTCACAGAGTAACTGTTGGGTTCAATCCACTGATCTTTTGGTAGCCAAAAGATCATTTAACCGCTGGCCTTAAAATTTTTAAAGGATTTTATACATAATAGCTATTTTCTTTAACTACAAAGCCAAAACCTTCCATAGTTTGGAATGGGCTAAATAATATTTTTATAACAACGCCTAAAATTCTTCCTACCTATCCATCACTTTTGGAGTCCTGGTGTGGTGCTGTGGGTTAATGTGCCAGACTGCAAAGTCATTTGAACTGCAAGATCAGTGGTTCAAGCTCACCAGCTGCTCCTTGGAAACCTTATATAGGGTTGCTATGGGTCAGAACCGACTTGATGGCACTTCACAACAACATCCGTCACTTTTAAGACATAAATGTGTGAAGCTATAAATTTTAATATTTAAGTATAGTTACTGGTCTCTAAAGCACCAAGCAAAAATAACTTGAAAGCATTATCAGAGCTAGGTGACAAAGACAGTGACAGCTTTTATGAGACTATGTTAGTCATGATCCAAAAATAAAGGCGAATTTCCATTCAAATTTTTAAATTTCAAAGTTCATGCATACTTTTATTGATATTAAGCTTTTTTAATACTGTTAATCAAAAGTTAATCGCAAAGTATATATAATATGCAAAAGTGTTTCACTTTTGAATCCATTTAGTCTTTAAAAGGAGCTCTGGTAGCGTACTGGTTATGAGTCAGGCTGCTAACCTCAGGGTCAGCAGTTGGAAACTACCAACCATTCCGTGGGAGAAAGATGAGACTTTCTGCTTCTGTAAAGATTTACAGCCTCAGAAACTCTATACAGAATTCCTATGAGTCGGAACCGACTCTAAGGCATACCAACACCACCAGTCTTTTAAAATATTGTCCTTCAATCCATTTATACAAAATCTTTTCCAGTCAGGTATTCCTTTACCCAGTAGCCTCATTCCTGGCTAAATCTCATTTCCCTTCTTAGTTAACTTGGTTCTGACATTACACCCTCCTTCTGCTTCACTGACTGTACTTCTTATCTCCTTTAATTATTCTTCCTTTTCATGACCTCTTAACACTGGAGTGCTTCATGACTTTAGTTCTTAGTCTCTTCTCTTTTTCTTTCCATATTCATTCCCTAAATGATTTTATCTAGTCACTTGCCTACTAAATATCTCTACGGACATATCCCAGTATTCCCCTTAGAATTCCTTTAGTCCATCTCATTGGTGGGAACTCTTTTCTCATAGGTTCTTAAGCCAGAAGTTCTGAAGTCATGCTTATTGTTGTTACTAGGTGTCATCAGGTTGGTTCCAACTCATTGTGGCCTTGTATGATGGTATGTCAAAAAGCATTGCTTCTTCTAGGGTTCTAGTTTATATTTGCAAGGGTTTATTCAAAATAAAACATGTTTAAATATGTCAATGTGATGATTAGTGGATGGTTGCAAACAAGTTCTCTCAGTAATAAACTTGTCTTAGCCTCCTTGTTGGTGGTGGGAAGTGCTATTGAGTCAGTGCTGACTCATAGCCACCCTCTGTAGGGTTTCTGAGGAGCAGCTGATGAGTTTGAACCTCCAACCTTGTGGTTCAAACTGACCTTGAGGTCAAGTATTTATCCTGTCCTATCCTAAGGTGCCACACCAGGACTCATTATTGTACCTTTAAAAAATAAGGACCAATCAAAACAGTGACTTACAAGGAGACCTGCTGGGCCAGTTTAATTCAAGGCCAAAAGGTCAGTTTAGATGGTAATGACAGTTGCTTTTTGGGACTTCAAAGGGGTAATCTTGGTAGATATTCTCCAAGGGTTCAGGACCAGCATGGGGACTTTTAAGAAGAAGATTTCAGAAAATTGAAAACTGCCATGGTAAGAAAAGGGTTTTACATCACAACAATGTGCATATTCATGTTTGAGTTTCATTCTTCAAGGGTAGCAAGGGCTGGCCTGTGAGATTTTCACTGGGAAACCTTACCCCAGCAACTATGTAGCCCTGATCTTGCCCTTTCAGACTACATTTTATTCCCAAAACTCAAAGAACATTTAAAAGGAACACAATTTGAGGCTCACAGGATGCCAAGACCGCCATTTTAGTGTGGTATAAATCAAAAAGCACTGAATTCTTCAGGGAAGGCTTAGAGAGATGGAAAAATCGCCTTTCAGAAATATATTGACCTATGTGTTGAGAAACAATAGCTCCACATTATTTTGTTTAATAAAGGGGTTGTAATTTTGTAGCAGTACTCTTTGACTCACCCTCATATATAACAATGAAATGTTAACTGACCCTGCACTATTTGGATGATAATTACTATGTTTGAATCCATTTTACTTTGACTTTGAGTGGGGGGGATTCCAAAGGGCTAATATTGAGTCACTGCATCTTGTTGAGGGTTTCCTCCATTTTTTTTCCTAGAGTTGGTCTTTCCTGGTCCATGCCAAAAGTAAATGAGAAGAAGTCTTGCTATTCTCTTTTCTAAGGAGAATTTTGTTGTATTTGCTCTAAAAATGATTTGTTCATTCTTTCAACAGTCCACATGCATTCAGTATTCTTCACCAACACTATTTTCAAATATGTCAATTCTGTCTTTTTCATTGTCTAACTTTCCCATACCTATGAGTCATGCTTAATTCCATTATAGTTTTCTCATACCTGCATCTCCTGGTAAAATTCCTGTTTGCTCTGCCTTCAGAACACATGTGAAATCATTCTCATCATCTCCACCACTATCACCCTTATCCTGGCACTGACATCTATAAAATGTTGAATTGCAAAAGCCTTTTAACTGACCTCTCTGCTTTGCCCTTGTTCTTCGTCAGTCCTTTTTCACTCTAGCAACTAAAACGATGCTTTAAAATGTAAGTCAGATTATATTCTCCTGTGCCCAAAACTATTCACAGCTCTGTATTTGACCCAGAGTCTTGGTGTACAATCCTACAGGATCTGGCTTCCTTTAATCTCACTAACCTCACGTACTCTTAACTCTGTTCCTTGTCTGCTGCAATTGAATTGCTGGATTTTCCCCCAGAAGTCTTCCTGTCCTACGCCCTCAATCTATTCAGATCTTTTAAATGTAGCTTTCTTTTTCTCCAAATCACTTATCACCATATGATAAAACTTATTTATCATTTTCCCATACTAAAGTATAGTCAGAGATTCTTCTTTTTGTATTCACTGCTATGAGGAGAAGTCAAAAAGTAAAAATTCTTAGAAACATTTATGAAACAAAATAGAGGAGTATATGAAGCTATTGTTTCTTGACATATCCTCCATAGGAGATGATGAGCTCTCTAAACCTTCCCCAAAAGATCACTGGTAGCGTAGTGGTTACGAATCGGGCTGCTAACCTCAGGGTCAGCAGTTCGAAACTACCAGCTGTTCCATGGAAGGAAGATGAGGCTTTCTGCTCCTGTAAAGATTTACAGCCTCAGAAACCCTGTACAGGGTCGCTATGAGTCCGAACTGACTCCACGGTACATAACAACAACAACCACCCTTCCCCAATGAATTCTGTACTCTCCAATTTGCACCATGTCAAAATAGCAGTTTGTCATCCTCAAAGGCCTCAAATCATGTTCCTTTTAAATATTCATTGAATTTGGAGAACAAAGCAGACAAGATTAGGGTTGTAAGGTAGATAGAATAAGATTTCTTAACAAATATTCTCATAGGACATCTCTTGCTACCGAATGAACCAGGTGCATTAACCTAATGAAAAAGATTCCTTGCACAACTTTACAGGACTTTTTTTCCTCACCAATGCAGTTTTCAGTTGTTTGAAAACATATTCCTAATAAACCCCCATGACTGTCCTATGTACTTTGAAAAGATCTATCACTGTTTCCCCTTTGGAATTCCAAAAATCAGTTGCTAAAACCTTCTGATCTGACCTCTCTGCCTTGAATTTAACTGGCCCAGTAGTTTGCCTCAGAAACCACTATTTTTATTGGAAACTTTTTTTGAAGGTAGCTTTTGAGACTATATTAATGAGAGAGCTTTTGGTTAAGAGTCATGTACTGACCGCTGAGATACAGTTAAGCATGTCTGATTTGGAGTAAACTGATACATGTATGAACTAGAACACTAGAAAGTCAAAATACTTTTATTGTACTCTCATATAATCTTATTTCCTAGAATAATGCTTGACTTAGTGTAGGGGCTCAACAAATAAATAGAGACATGCAAAGGAACACAAATTAAAACATTATTGTATTTGAGAATATTGCCATTATTGTGTGCCATCAAGTGGTTCTGTGCTTGGCCACTAACCGATGCCGTGAACCCACCAGCCGCTTCCTGAGAGAAAAGACCTGGCATTCGACTCCCAATAGATTTCAGCCTTCAAGACCATAAGTTCTTGATCATATGCTAGCTCTTGAAATAGTTGAAGAGCAACTGTTTATTTTTGGTACAATGAATGTATATGCTTTCCATATTCTTTGATGCTTCCTATGTTATTCAGTATTTTGCTCATAGAATCCTTCAACATTGTAACCCAAGGCTTGAATTTCTTCAGTTTGAGAAATACTGAGCATATTCTTCCCTTTTGGTTTTCTAACTAGACGTCTTTGCACATTCATTATAAAACTTTGTCTTCTCAAGCTTCCTTGTGAACTTTTCTGTTCAGCTCTTTTACTTCCTCATCTGTTTCATTTGTTAGCTTTCTATGCTCAAGAGCAAGTTTCAGGGTCTCTTCTGACATCCATTTGGTCTTTCCTTTCCTGTCTTTTTAATGACCTTTTGTTTTCTTCATGACAGTCTTGATGTCATTCCACAACTCTTCTCAGACCTTCAGTAATTATTCTAATACATCAAATCTTTTCTTGAGATGGTCTCTACATTCAGGTGGAATATACACAAGGTCATATTTTGGCTCTCATGACTTACTTTAATTTTTTAGCTTCAGTCTGAATTTGCATAAGAACAGTTAATGGTCTGTTCTGTAGCCTGCTCCTGATGTTGTTTTGAGTGATAAGATTGAGATTCTCCATGATCTTTTCCCCACAAATACAGTCAGTTTGATTCTTGTGTATTCCATCTGTTGAGGTCCACAAGTATAGTCACCATTTATGTTGTTGAAGAAAGGAATAAAATTCTATCATGAGATCTCCAGCGTCATTTCCGTCACCCAGGCCATATTTTCCAACAACTTATAAATTTTTCTTTTGTCATCTTTCACATTCCAATCACCAGTAATTACCAGTGCATCTTGATTACATGTTTGTTCAGTTTCAGACTGAAAAAATTGGTCGAATTCTTCAATTTCATCATAATAGGCTTTAGTTGTTGGTGCATAAATTTGAATAATAGTGGTATTAACAGGTCTTCCTTGTAGATACATGGATTTTATCCTATCACAGATAGCATTGTACTTCAAGATAGATCTCGAAATGCTCTTTTGTTTTGACTATGAATACATGCCATTCTTCTCCACTCTGTCATTTGTGGCATAGTAAACAATTTGAATGTCCAAATCAAAATGCCAGTACCTGTCCATTTAGGCTCAGTGATGCATAGGATATTGATCTTTATGCATTCCATTTCTATTATTACAACTTGCAACTCTCCTGGATTCATACTTCATGCTTTTCATATTCTTATTATTAATGGACATTTGCAACTATTTCTTTTTTTGAGTTGTGCCCCATCAGTTCATAGAGGTCCCAAAAGCTTTGCTGCATCTATGTCATTAAGGGTAACTCTTCTTTGAGGGAGGATACAGTTCTTCCCTAAAGATAATTTTGAGTGCTTTCCAACCTGAGTTCGTCTTCCAGTGCTATACCAGCAAATGTTGTGCTGCTATTCAAAAGGTTTTCAGTTATAAAGTTATCTGCTTCTCCTTCTTCCTGGTCTATCTTAGTCTGGAAGCCACTGAAGGCAGTATGGATGACTCTGCTGGTTTTTAAAATATCAGTAGCATTATTTCCAGCCTCACAGCAACACAAAAGCCACCATAGCATGATATAGATGAGTAGTGCTGGTGATTTAAGAGTAGAACTGAGTTTATTCCTTTATTATTACCAAGATTTTTCCTGCTAAGTCACCAAACCACTTTTGTCTGTTGAATAGCTGTATAGAGGCATACCATGGAGATACAGCACCACAGAGATATTGTAGGTTCTGTTCCAGACAACTGCAATAGATGAATCTCACAGTGAAGTGAGTCACACATATTATTTAAATTCCAGTACATATGAAAGTTTGTTTACACTGTAATGTAGTCTATTAAGTGTGCATTAATAGCTTTATGAAAAAGATTGATATATTATTAGAATGACCAAAATGTGACACAGAGACATAAAGCGAGCATATACTATTGGGAAGGCGGTGCCAATAGACTTCTCCACACAGGGTTGCCCAGACCTTCAATTTGTAAAACATTATCCGATGTCTGTGAAGCACAATAAATTAAAGTATACCTGTAAAATTATTTGACCTCTTATTTGCACAATTTTCAATTATACCACATAAATTAAAATATAATAACTATTATGTTTCAAGGATTCAGTTATCCAAACATAAAGTTACTAAGTTAGTACTACGCTTCATACAGCTATGCTAAATATCACTGACATTTTGTGAAAAATTGAGTTAGGAGAGAAAATGAATGTCTAACATTCTTTGTGAAATGACGTTGCCTGTTCAAGATCGTAAACTACTAAATCATGCAGTAAATGTTAAAATTGTGATCTGGTTAAAAAGTTTGAGAATTGTTGCTCAGATAATCCATTAAAAACCTCTATAGAGAATTTTAAAAATATTTTTGTATATTAGTGACATAATGATTTTTTTCCTTGTCTCCAATAGGAGAACCTGATAAGGAGCTGAATCCTAAGAAGAAAATCTGGGAACAAATCCAGCCTGACCTTTACACTAATACTGAGTGTGTGGCTACTTACAAAGGTGTCCCCTTTGAGGTGAAAGGAAAGGGAGTGTGCAGAGCTCAAACTATGTGCAACAGTGGAATAAAATAAAATGCGTCGGTTATTGAATTTCACTGGAGAACATTTTAGCAGCAATAAAAAGGAATATATTTGTCATGTGTACTTCAAAGTATGGAGGCTTATTTCTGTGTTGTTTCTCCCCTAGGCATTATTATTATATACTTTTTCCTGGCACATATTGTTTCAAATTGATTGGAGTAACACTACCTTTTTACATCTTTTTGTTTGTTTTTATCATTTATTATATAATGGAGGAAGTGCCCTTTTTGTGATTATTTTTTGGAGAGATGTTGGTTAGCAGGTTCTTTTCCCTTCATACATTTAGATAGCATGAAGTAGATAAATGTTGGGCCCTTTTTGGGCATATGTTGCATGAAATTTCAAGTCTTTGGAATGTTAGTATAGTCTATGCCTATATATAGTCCTGGTGTGGCATTGTGGGCTAATGCATCAGACTGCAAAGTCGTTTGAACTGCAAGGTTGGTGGTTCAAGCTCATCAGCTGCTCCTAGGAAACCCTATACAGGGTTGCTATGGGTCAGAATCAACTCAACAGCACTTAACAACAACAACATACCTATATTAAGGAGCTCTGGTAGCGTAGTTGTTACGAGTCGGGTTGCTAATCTCATGGTTAGCAGTTTGAAACTACCAGCTGTTCCATGGGGAAAGATGAGGCTTTCTGCTCCCGTAAAGATTTACAGCCTTAGAAACCCTGTTCAGGGTTGCTATGAGTCAGAACCTATTCCATAACACATCACCACCACCACCATACCTATATTGGACTCCTAGTGTGCTCCTTGGAAATCCTATACAGGGTCAGAACTAGCTCGATGGCACTTAACAACAGCAACATAACTATCCTGGAGTCCTGGTGTGGCACTGTATGATAAGCACTGAACTGCAAGGTCAGTGGTTCAAACCATCTAGTCACACCTTATAAACACTATACATGGATGCTTTGAGCTAGAACTGACTCTACAGCATTTAACAACGTACCTGTATTTCATATGCCATCACCTCTTCAAAATGGTAAGTTGGAATATTTGGTAGACTTTAACTAACCATTTTAATAATATTCAAGATGCCCAGTTGTTTATTCTAGAGAACCAAAAGTCATAAAATCTCAGAAACGGTTTTTAAACATTTTTGCTACTGCTAACAAAGTATCTTAGCCTTGACTTATAATTTAATATGAACTTTTTTTATAAAACAAATGTTCTATTGAGTATTGAGCATTTTCCTTCTATGTAGCAAACTAGTAGCTAAATTTTGAGTGACTCTAAGAATAAATACATTATTCATAAAAACAGTCCATTTTTTTAAAATTCTAATTCCCTTTACCAAGATTTTTAGGTTACCTTCTAGAAGGTCACAGGGACCCTAAGAGTATAGTGCTTAAGCACTTGACTGATAACAGAAAAGTTAGCAGTTTGAAATCAGTTTGAAACTCTCAATGGGAGAAAGATGCAACGGTTCGCTCTGAAGATTTACAGCCTATAAACCTTCCCTACAGGGTCACTGTAAGTCAAAATTGGGCTATACAGCAATGGGTTCATAAAAGATTTACTAGATTTAGAAGCTATGCTGGCATAGTGGTTTATGCATTGGCCTGAAAACCACAAAGTCAGCAGTTCAAATCCACCAGTCATTCTGAGGGAGAAAGATGATTTTTCTGCTCCTTAAAGTCTCAGAAATCCTATACAGGATTGCTATGAATCAGAACTGACTTCAGTGCACATTAACAATGACTTTAGAAGAGTATATAAGTTTGTTATATTTTGTTTCTTCATATTCCCTCATGCTATCAATATATTAATAAAAACCACAGCCCAAAACTTTAACATATATATTAAAGGTATCAAATATCTGTTCTTAATCATCTCAACAGATTTTGTAGAAACAATAAAAATAAATTTTGTTTTAAAGCAAAAGTCATTCTAGCACTTGTCGCCTCCAATCAGAAGGCAAAAACAAACCTATAAATATTCCTGGATGTTAATTTATAGACAGTATAATCACACAGGTATAAAATGTATAATAATGTTGTTGACATTGTCATTCTTAAAAAGTGAATACTAACAAAATTAGGCCCTGGTGTGACACTAGGATAAGCACTGGACTGCTAACAGCAAGTCTGACAGTTCAAACTCACGGCTGCTCTGGGAAACACTATACAGATCACTATAAGTGAAAACCAACTCCAGGGCACACAACAGAGTATCAGTTTTTAAAATTCTGCTTTAAATTCTAGTATAATTTAAAGAATATTTCAACAACTTTTAGATAGTTAAGATAATCCCCTATGGTCATTTTGCTCAGGTCAAATTAATGTATAAGTTTTGATCCTGAATGAATATGCTATATAGAGAGCATAGAAGTAAGTCTTGCTGCTAAAGTCCATTGCACACATTGTCAGTGGACTAATTTTTGACTAGTATTTGTGATGCTTCATCATAAATATGTATGGATTATCACAGTGACAGCAGCAGTGAGCTCAAACATAGCAATGATTGGGAGGGTGGCCCAGGACCGGGCAGTGTTTCATTCTGTTGTGCATAAGGTAATGCTATAAGTCAGTACCCACAGGATAGCACCTAAAAACAAATGTACATTGCAAAAAGCTCATATACCTCTTTCTCAATCATTATATTATACCTTGTTAATTTTATCAGATGACTCCTTCCCTCCATAACTCCTCCAAAACCTTTATGTATGAAAAAATCCAGAGTGCTAAAAAAATTTAAGATACGGAGTCAAAAAGGAGCAATTTTTTAAGTTACCTAAAGCCATAAGTCAATCAAATTAATGTTAACAATTCAATCATTTTCACAAAAAAAATGGTGTTTGTATTCCTGGCATGGGAGAATTCACATTTAATCACTAAAATTGCATTGTCAGTGGCTTCTGACTGGTTTTCTGCTACTGAACTATTTCAACAGTATGTTAGATCACAGGCCAAACAGCTGGTGCCTCTTGATGAGTGATGAATATATTTACATATATTTTCATATGTTACAAACTAAACAAAAATAGAAAGTTCTCCCTTCTCACAAGATTCTCCTGCAAGATTGTCCCACTACTTAACAGTGAGTGTTGGGAATATTAGCTGTTCTTATATTTACAAATTCCATGGATATTCTTTTGAAGTGTCTCATTTCAGCACATAATTGATTTTAAAATAAAATTGGGGTTTTCTTTCTCTTTAACCGTCTTGCTCTTAGAAAGAATTTTAAGTGCCCATTAAACAGATAGTTCATTGTTTTAGTGTGTAAACTCCTTTTTAGACTGCTGAGAAGAATTACCAGCAAAGAAACACTGACTTTCTTAATATAACAAAAAGAGTTTCCAAGTTCTCACAAGAAAAAAATAACATGAAACCAGCACCATCCAATAAGCTTTACCAGATCAAATCCCACATTTGCTCTTCTGATAGCTCCCCACCACACCCAGAAGATGTTTCATCAAGGGCAGTTACCGTCAGAGCTGTTCTAAGAGCTCATTTTTCCTCTGTGATAATGAGGATAGCTTCACAGGCTTTTGGTGTCGACAGAACCACATCCATGTGGCGAGCATACGTCTCATATACGAGAAAAAACATGAACTAATCAATCTTTCTCATTGGGACAGTCTCCCAGAATGCTCCATGAAGAATCCTTTTCTGTTCTTTACCACATGTTGATGAAGGCAGAGGAAGGGGGTTGGAAAGGTAGGAGATAAGCTGGCAAGTCTGGTGATGTTCTGGACTCCACAACCTTTCTTTGGGTGGTTTTTAGTATCTTTGCTAACAGCAACAACTTGATGGGGGTCAGGAAGGAACCACCAGACAACCAATCACCTTTTTTTTTTGAAGCCACATTTTTGCATTCATACAAGAGATCAGTCTTCTACAAATTTTGTACAACCATCTCTATCCTTCTAGATGGTAAATTCCTTACAGTACTAGGCATGGGAGACGTCTGGACTGGACCTCCACAGATGACAGTGCCACTGATAAGAGCCAAAATTACCATGTATCACAGGCGTACCCCAGGGTGCAGGGATGCACAGAGGAGTCACAGTCGAACTGGCAACACCAACCTGCTTGTGACAAAAATGCAAATCCGGATGGTGTTTAGCCATGCCATCAAGTGCCATCGAGTCGATTCTGACTCATAGCGACCCTGTATAGGGTTTCCGAGGAGCAGCTGGTGAGCTTGAACCGCCGACCGTGCAGTTCAAACAGCTTTGTAGTCTGGCACATTAACCCCCAGCGCCACGCCAGGACTCCATAGCTTCCTTTAAAAACTTTAACTCATGCAAGTTTACTAAGCATTTCAGCAAGGGAAGGATTGTTGATATTAGGTGCCTGCCGGTTGGTTCTAACTCATAGCGACCCTATGCACAGCGGATAGACCCTATGCACAGCGGTTCAGTGCCATCCTCACTATTGTGATTGGGTTCATGGTTGCCGCCAATTTGTCAATTCATCTTGTCAGAGGTCTTCCTCTTTTTGATGATCCTTCATTTTTTCAAATATTATATTCTTTTCCAATGATTAGACCCTCCTGGTAATATGTCTGAAGTATGAAAGACAAAGTCAGCCATCCTCTCTCATAAGGAATATTCCATCTGTTTTTCTTCCAACACAGATTAGTTTATTCTTGCAGTCCATGGTACTTTTAGAATGATTCATCAACACCAACATTCAAATAAATCAATTCTATGGTCTTCCTTATTCATTGTACAACTTTCACATACATATGAGGAGATTGAAAATATCATGGCTTGGGTCTGGTGCATCTTATGCCTCAAAGTGTCATCCTTTCTCTTAACTACTTTAAAGAGGTCTTGACTGCTACATCTATAAGTGTTATTTGTGGATCCAAGCAAATGACTTCAATGTTGTCATTTATCATGATGTTATTTATTGGTCCAATTGTGAGGATTTTTTATTTCTTTACATTGAGATGCAATCCTTACTGAAGGCTGTAGTCTTTGATCGTCAACAGTGTTTTAGGTTCTTTTAGCTTTCAGCAAGTAAAATTGTGC